AACCTCGTTTTATCTTTCCGTTTTTTTCTGTGTTCCAGTCAAGCAGTTCCAAATTGGCAATAGTGGTATACAGCACAAGCTCGAAGAGTGAGAACACTCATAAATCATGCTGAAAATTTCTTAACTTGTTTCCAGAACAAAAAGCTCAGATATTGCATTGTCCGGTTAAGAACCAGATACCAGGCCAGTTTGGAATCACATGCCCTTCTCATGTGTCATTAGCTCCTCATATCCTATCACCATTTGGGCATTCTAAGAACTTAACAGTACCAGCCCAAAACCAGTGAAACAGACCAAGTGACTTATCACAGTCCTTCTTTACACTTATTTCTGGACACGAATGCTTTGAAATCTTAGATCATTTCTTGGAGGCACACTTGCAGGGTTATTTTAACACCATGTTTCCTTATGTGGCCATAGGAATTGAATTTGTGAATTTCTGGGGAAAAAGTCCTTTCATTATAAAACATACATTGCTTTCCTAACCAAAATTAAGATAGATTTTGCCCTCTGGGAGTTTGGTCGTCATCTTAACTGCATATTATAAAAGCTTACCTAGAGAACACAGTCCCTAGCAAGGTGAGCAATTTTCACGAGATATAGTTTAATAGAGTGTGAAATCACAAAGGCTTAAATTTTAGTCCTGGATATCCTCTGGCATGTCCGTTTTCATTTATAAAAGAGATAAATGCAACTTCATTGTGTAATGAGGTAGTGTAAGAAAAAAAATGCCTTGTAATTCATAAGATGTGTACATGTTATTGCTAACATTTTTACTTTCAGAGATTTTCATCCCCAAACTGGTACAGAATAAGTCATTTTCTTTTTTCTCCCTTGCTGTCCAGAAAACAAAATGTTTTGGCAATGAGGAATGTGTGCATATGTGTGAATATTTAAAGGATGAAGTATGAAGAAGGGAGTGAATTTCTGTAAATGTAGCAAATCAACTATATATTCCTTTAAAAAGAAAAGAAGTGTAATAAAAGTTGTTTATCTCTTGCTCTCTATGACCAAAGCATTCATATGTAATAAGATTATTCATGTAATTAAACTGTACTTGTTCTCCTGTTTGCATGGTTTTGAGTAAAAGATTTTTTTAAAAAATGACCAAAGTTTTCAAATACTCAAAAATTTTAGTAAACTATGGTAGTACATTAGGGCAAGCATCTGGTTGATTTTTCCATCACCAGAGCCCTAAGCAAAGTATTAAGTCCCTACTTTTATTACTGAAAGCAGGTACAAAAGTTAAAATTTTACTATTAAATGATAGATGTTATAAAGAATTTTGAAGAATTATGAAGTCCCTCATATAATATGGGAGGCTTCTAGGAAAAAAAAAATTTTATTTGCTCCTTTGGCATCCAAGAAAGACATTTTTATGTCTGGAACAATGTGCCCTACTTAGTCAGATTCCTGGTGGATGAGAGGTATGACTTTTCTTTTGTAAAGTGGCAGAAAAATTAGTGTTAAGGAATAGGGAAGGGAGAACCAACACTACTGATGTGCTTGGAGGCAGATCAGTATAGGAAAATGTACATATGGAAGTTGATACAGATTCCGCATCTCTTAAAATTACTCATGCCTGCGTATCCCTTGTACTCCTCAGTATGAAAAGCAATGATCTATGATGTATATTCCAACACTTCATGCATGCCCTTTATTTTTATTCTCTTATGATGGGGAGAGACGGGGTCTGGGGCGGGGGTGGGGGTAGATTAGTTTATATCCAATAAGCATTTAAGGCTGAAACGTCACAGTTTTTGTGTGCCTAATTAGTTTCTTTGTCTCAACTGCTTTAAGTTAGTGGGTAGTAGTATTGCTTAGTTAAACTCATACATTCAAGGTCATACCTAGGGTTATACTCCAAGATATTTGCTTTGGAAATACTTAAATAATCACATATACCCTGTTTTATAAGGATGGCAACGCTATCAAAACTAAAACATTCACAAGCTAACAGCACTATAAAATAACCTGAAATAGTGACTTGTCAGCTGATGACAGAAATTCAGAGTTAGAAAATTAGTTTAAGAGTGACTGTATAATAATAGAGGAAATTGTTAGTTGTTAGAAAGCCAAAGATTGTTTATGAAATTTGTTTTATGTCCTCTCATCCTTGTCCAAAAAAAAGTATGGGTAATTTTTTTTATTACTGATTGGAATTTTATTTGCACAATGAAAGGGAGTCGTTTCAGAATAATTTGTCACTCTGAGTAAAGAAGGCTGTATTTACAGTTTAAATTTTTGTATACTAGTACAATTCTAATTGGAAAACCTTTGGGTCAGTTTTACGAAAAAAATAGAAGCTCCTATCTTTGATGAGGAAAAATCATAATAGTGGCTTAGAATGTAAAGCTTTTAGAATCACCCTGTAATTTATGGCTTATCCCTGAGAATTCAAAGCTTTATAAATTATAAACCTTTTCCAGAACATGGTACATATCATCTTATGTCAGATAGAGCTAGACTAAGCCAAGAGCATAAATTAATTTTCACTTTTTCACCCTGAATTCTTCTTTCATCCCTGATATCCAGTATTATTGTTTTCCAGCTTAAGTTGCACACCCCTCACATAGACCAGAATTGCTTCAAAATAACCCATGCTCATATCACTTTTTCTATTTCTTTTCTCCTATGTCCCTACTTCTGATAGATGATTGATAGATAGATAGATAGATAGATAGATAGATAGATAGATAGATAGATAGATAGATGATAGATTGATAGATATCCTACATCATAGCTGATAATGAGTATTTTTTTTTAAATTCACACTAAATTATTAATGACTGGCTGGTTTGCTCCTCCAAAGAATACATTTAATTCAAATGAATATCTGATTAGTAGGATAAACCTGCTTCATTAATATCATTCTTATGTATTTTCTTGGAAGATCTAAATTGGGACTACATGGGATGTCCTTCCATTGTGGGCCATAGTTTTCAAAGGAAAGGAAAAATGTGTCTCCTATCTATGAGCAAATGAAGGGTAGGGTACTAAGTAACCACCAATGTTTGTCTTTGAAGCCCTGAAACTTTCTTTTCTGCATCTTTCCTCCAGTTCTTTCTTGTTCTTTCTCCTATATCTTCAACAATCTTAAAGTCCCAATTTTAACAGCCATAAAATAGGAATAACTGTAGGGTTGCTTTAAGGACTATAAAGTTGTTGCAAAAGATAAATAAATTTTGTGTAAATTACCCAGAACAATATCCAGAAAATATTAGATGCACAATAAATACTGGTTCCAGGTACTTCTCTTCTAATTGGGGAGTGAACATTTTAATAAGGCTAATAAATCCAATACAGGATTTTACATTTGAATATTTTATACAAAAAGGTTATGCAATGATCATAAGCTGTTTCTGTCTGTCCAGTCTATTCTCCACTCTCTTCTGATTTATCTCAGCAATAGCAGCTGCTCAAGTAAAAGCATGAATGAATGAATGAATGAATGAACAGAAAGGGTTTACAGATAAGAAATAACTGAGCCAATGGAAATGATACCAATCTCACTTTATATCAAATAATGGTAGAACCAAGTGTCTTTTACAATAAAAAAATAAATGTTATTTCAAAAAGAAATAACATTTCTTATTCCAGTGCAGTTTTATGCCAATAGTAAAGTACTACTTTTTCTACTCAGTTTTCATATCTAACAGCCAAATAATATCATCCTAATATTTCCTTGCATAAAAGTTTAAAATGAGAGGTATAAAAAACTACAGACACTTATCAAATCTCTGAAGATATGTTTCTCCAAATACAATAGCAAAAATTCATTTAAAGTAAGAAATTAATTATCAGTGAAATGATTATCAATGAAAACCACGACACTGCAAACCCTGTTTTTACACTGGAAATAAAACTAAAATAATATTTCAAGTATTTTAAAAATATCGCAGTAAAATGTGTTTTTTCTAGGTGTTTTTATACCTTTGAAACAAAAGGAAAAAAAGGCTCAAGGCCCACTTCATTCTTTGTTCAGAACAAAGTGTGTTTTGTCTACTAAAAAAATAAAGGAACAATAATCTCCAAGAAATCATCTTGACCAGCATTAATGACTAGTTTGGTAGTTAACAGCCCGAGGCACAGCCAGAGGCCATTAAGGCTCTTGAGGGGGAAAGAGGGTTGGGGGATTGTGGTTTACCAGCAATTAACTATAGATATGAATCAAAACTTCCTAAGAAAAGAGATAAAAGTTACTCTGGATGATTCTTTCTGTGTTTATCTTTTCATACACCCCTCCTCCCTCTTTTGTAATAAATAGGAAAAGAAGATGCTGCTATCAATTCACAAACCAGTTGGATTGGAAATAATTCATTTAATGAAATGGGGACACTCAGGGGACCAATTAATGCCTTTTCAAGCTTATACTATACAACTATAAGAACCACTTTAAATAAAAAAAAAAAGTAGTCTAACACATTAGTTGATTGTTGGTGAATTGAAACTCAATCATGAGATCATAAGGATTTTTTGGAGCTTTTTTTTCAGTTTTTAATCCTATCTCAATAAAGGTAAATACATAAGGATTATAAATAAACAAATCTGAAGTAATATAGATTGGGGGAACCTCAAGAGGGTCAGGAGATAATGAAGATTATACCTCAATATTGGGATTATGATGTTAGTTCTTTATTTCAATAAAAGTGGATAGAGATCTTTCATATCAGGGACAGGGCTTAGCTGTAAGGACAAAGTAATCTTCTGGGAATTATGCATACAGGCTTGACATCATTTTTATTGGATGGCTGATGAACTGGAAAACTCCAGGATAGCCAGGCTTTAATTTGTAATCTTAATTTTCATATAAATCGGTACATTTCAGGGGGAGGGAGTGGGGGTTGTGGGGGACTTTGATGCTTGCAAGCCTTGTGGTAATAAGACAGTGCGGCTGCAGTACTAACTCATCCAGTCTCTGATTCTGTCTTTTCTTCTATCCATCTGTCTTCCATCTTTACATCTATCATTTAAAGAAATTTACAGCCTGCAAATACCAGAGAAACTAATGTTAGTGCAATCTTCCCTCCACCTCTTGGAATGATCTATAGTAATCTACTTATCATAGATATGCATACTATAATGTACAATAATTTAGTTTTCAGCCAGGAAAATGACTGCAATTGTTTTGCAAACATGTATTGATAAGATTCTTTTCTTCTTTTTATCTTTTTTAAAGGCTCTAAGGCATGAGAGAAAACTAGTTTCCCTTCATAAAAATTATCTTGGTGTTTCCTATATATACTTTCATATCCATAAGATTACATAGGGACACAGTTATCAAACTAGAACACAGTAGTGATTTATTTGGTCATATAGAAACTTGGCCCATGTATTTCTAGTATAGAATGCATATGCCCTTTATATTGTAAAAGAAGTAAAGTGCTACTGAGTGGAATATTCTAGAAATATGTTAATAAAATAGAATTTTATGTCTAGTTATTCTAGGTTCTTACATCATAAGTAACATTGAATCATTATGCAAAACTATTCTAATAGAAGAATAGTTGAGTTGAACTGACCACAGAAAACAAATAATATACAAATGTGAAATTATTTGTTCAAAAATATATTTCTCACTTTCAAAAAATGCTTCTGCAGCTTTTCTTTTCAATTAAAAAATTTCCAATTGTCCTTTTGTTGTTTTTTTTTTTCAGATATTTTACCCCCTGGACCAAAAATAATATGCCTTGACATTGGCCATTTTCTATATGCCTCTTTTAGCAGAAATTGTAACCTTTTGTCTCTGTTTAGGTTAGAATAATACTACAAATATTAATCACTAATTGATTCATCCATCCATCTATTCCCTGTGTCAAGCACTATATACAGTAGTAAGTATACTTATAGGATATATAGTATTTTACCTTAAGGAGCTTATGACTTAGTGGGGACAGAGACTTGTAACAGAAAACCCCAAGAAGACTTCCAGGGCAAAGAGACATTGGAGCTGAAATTTAAAGGCAAGAAGAGGTTAGCTAAGCAAAGCTAATGATAGGGATAAAAATGGGATAGAACAACATTTGTAAAGGCAGAGCAAATGAAAGGGAATTTGGCACATGACGTGGAAATGGAATTAACAAGGGTTTACAAAACTGAATGAGACTAGTGAGGTATAACTTGGTAAATGGTAGAACCTCAAAGGAAGAGATATTGATACAATCTTCAGCTGAAGGTATGAATCTCTAATATAAATCCATCAACATTCACTTGAACAACTCCAATGACTGGAAACTCATTATAAAGGACAGCCAAATTTATTTCCAAAACTAATGTTTGGGAAATTCCTAAAATTTTCTAGTTTTATAGAATGAGAAAGTATGTAACATATAGCTATCTTTTCTAATTTTGTCTTCTTAAACCACACACAATATGATTAATCTCCCTTTCCTACTATCATTGAAATATTTGAAGACATTTATGAAGTCCTTCAAAGGTCATTTGCTTAAAACATTCCTTATTTATAACAATTTGCAAAAATTTTAGCATTCTTATTTCTCTATAGATAAGCTCCGGATTTGTTCGTTTTAAAGTGTGGCAGCTGGAGCTGAAAGTAATAGTCTGTTACCATGATCTGTAGAGAGCAGAGAGGGAATATCCCACAACCTTTTTCTCATCACTATATTTCTATTATTGTGCCTAACTTGAATTAGATGTTTTGGCACTTACATTGATAATTCATATAGAACTTTTATTTACCTAAAATGCTAAGTCCTTGTTATGTGTGCTGTCATTTAATTTAGCCACATCTCCGCTGTCCTCTATTACGATAGTTGGGTTTTTGAACCAAAACCCAGAACATTATCTGTATTCGTATTTAAATTCATTACTTTATCACTCCCCCATGTAACAAGTACCAAGATGTCTAACATATAACACAGTGTAAAATTTGTCAAATAAGAGGAATGCAATATTATATAGAAAGACATGCACGCCATGAGCCACAGGTCTGGAAGCAGGGAGACTTCCAGACAAGCATCCTATGGGATGATAGGAAATATAAAGGTTCCTGGGAAGTCATGCAACTGGAATCAGTATCTCTTGATAAAAAGCTGAAAAAATGTGTTACTAACTTAATGACTCAGATAGCAGATTTATAGGGATTTGGGTGGTGGGGAAAGACATAGTTTAATGCCTAGAAACTAAGCCAAGACAGTAATGCCCCTTGTAGCAGAAAGGAATAAGGCCTGCTTGTAGTCTCAGGAAGTGTTGATCTGTGTGGAAGCAGCCTCATTACCATCAAATCATTCTGACATGAAGGCAAGACTAAACAAAAAGTTAACACAAACTAACAACAAAAGTAACAAACAACATGAATTCTCTCCAGAAAAAATATACAAATATATAAAATATCACAATCTACCTTTATATCTCTAGATATCCTTATCCTTATGTCTATTACTTTATCTGTTTATGGTTATTATTTGTTATACTACATAATATATTTACTATATATTAATACTCTGTCCATGTTACAAAAAAATCAGCATATTTATATCACCTCTTACCACTTTCCCCTATGTCTCCAATTTTGTTGAATATTTAATTTTTATATTGTCAAAGTTTTTAACATTTACATTTCTAATTTTACCATAATTCTCACACTTATTTTAATATAGTTCCAGAGACAATGAATTCAATTCTCATGTCAATCCTCTTGCTGTAGTCTCTCCATTTACTAAAGAATGACCAAAGTTAAAAAAAAAAAACCAACAAAACTCAAAGACCAGAATTCCCTGAGTTTCTGTGTGTTCCAAATCGTTTCCTGTAAGTTCAATTGCAGTTTGTCTAGGTATAAAGATTCTTGAATTACTCTTTCTTCAAGGTCTTAATTGACATTAATTGTTCCACAGTTAGTTTTGAGTATTGATACAAAGAAGTCTAAGGCTATCTTGCATTTTTTCCTTTTCAAGTCTCTTGATCTTTTTATCTGGTTATAGACTCTCTCTATATATGAAACTTTACTAGGATGTGTTTTGGTGTCAATCATTGTGTTATTTTTTCCTCTTAGATATGGCATATGCATCCACCATCTGTAGATTTAAGTATTTTATTTTTGGCAAGTTATCTGGAGTTATATCTTTGAATATTTGTTTACATTATTTTGGTTATATTTGTCTATGACAATTATTTGCCTATTTTCTATATTATTTTTAAATGCTATATTAATTTCATTTTACATCTTTTCTAATTCCTACTCTTAATTGTGCCTGTATTTTCAGAAGAATCTATTTTCCTTTGAGCTGCTTCCAATCTGTCTTGTTTCAATAGTATTTAATTTTTTTTCCTTCTACTTCATTGCTGAGCTTTGCCAGTTTATCATTTTCTCAGTTATGAACTTTGCAGAAGAGAAATGGCACATTCAAACTTAAGAAAATGAATAAAGTGATTGTTTACAAAGGTGAAGACAGAATGTAGGGAATCTACAAAGGTTAGTGCAGTACCCTTTGGGCAACTGTTACTACCTATAGGTCTGAAGGGGCAAGGAGAAGGAGTGGTAACTGGAACCTAAAGAGAGCCACCTCAAAGGAGCTCCTTACTAGTCATGGGACTCAGCCAGCCTAGCATGACCCCAGAGTGAGAGTCAAGGGAATAAATACTTTGACCTACTCTCCCCTCTTCCTCTGTTCTTTTACTAGTACAATCATTTAGCTAAGCTCAACTAGAAACTACAAAAGGAAACCTTTTGTAGTCCAGAGGTCAGCTTCTTGGGGCACAGATCAGGGTGGAGGAGGGTAGTGCGTGTATCTAGAGGGGTATCTTTCATCAGCTCTTAAATCTCTACTGTGTCCTTTTCTTATTCAGTGATGATTGTCTCATTAAGGTTGTTTTACTAATTCTGGATGACATGGGGTTATAATTTTTATCTGCTCCATGGTACATTTTTCTTGGTCAATGTTCCTCACCTGTTATTTTTTTCTGTTTCTTCATCTCTTTGTTTTCCCTTGTAATAGCTTTGTTTAGAGCCTATGCTGGTTATCATCATCACTCACCTTTCAAATACGCATCCTCCCCATCTGTCATTTGAGGTTTCGGTTGGAGAGTGGATAAGGCTGTGTTGCAGGCTGCTCCCAGCAATTCTGCTGATGACAGAGTTGCCTGTGTGAATGAGTTATTTTAGCTTTTATATCTTTCCTGCTAAAAACTGCAGCACTGTTAACAATATAAAGGGTTGTCTTCCCCTGACCCCCACAACCAGAGTTTACTTTGGGCAACTATGGATCGTCCATGGGATTCCTACATTAACCTTGACTTCCAAGTATCCAGAGATGTTCTCTATTCCCATTATTACAAATAAAATATGTATTATTTTATATTTCAGTGTAGCATACTTAATTTGAGAGATTCGTGTTGAGCTTTTGCTGAGCTCTGTCACTATGCAAGTCTTCTCTTTACATGTCCATATGTCCCAGTCAGCCTTTATTGTTTTCAGCAGTTCCTTTTTGCCTGCTTTGCTATTATTGTTTTGATATCTTCCAGTTCTATCAGAGATCAAGTCTGCATTATCTCCCCCAACTGCCTGTTTTTTTTTTTTTTTGGCTTTTAGATAAAAGAAGGGAGAAATTCACAGACTTCACTCCATCATTTTCAAATCCAAAATCACATATAGCCCTTTAATCTTCCGACAATCACATGTGCAAAGGACACATAAGGCTCATATGCTACCATATAAAAGAAAAAAAATCCCTGGCCAAAGCTAAATGCATAACTCATAATACATAAGAATATTTTCCAAGTGCTGAGTATATCTAAATGACTCTGGTTTAAGACTTCCCCCCATGGTTTAGAGGTATTTTCATTTTTCAAAGATAAATCATCTGTTCCCAACCTGTTTTTGTATGTGTTCTGAAGTCTTCCTAGATGCACAGTCCTTTGAAATGTCAAAATACTAACTTCAGAGCAAAAATAGCTGCTCCCAATCATATCTTATCCTCTTATCCTCCAAAGCTCCCAATTTGCCAGTGAAGTAACACAAAAGTTGATATAGATAAATTCTGTGACCGTAATCCCAATTGGGAGGCATACTCATCTCTTAAACAGTTATGTCAACTTGGATTTATCTTCACAGAAGGCATATAAAGCATCGTTTACATAAATAACATGGGGCTTTGAGTTGGACAAATATCAGGGATGAGTAACTGCCCTGGACTAGACCTATTAAATCAATCACTGGGGCTCAGACAATCAGGAAAGCATTGACTACAGCCATACAGAACCTGATCATAACATAATCTTCCTCTGCTTCTTGATGAGGTAACAAAATATGCTGTGTTCATTGAACAGCTGCTTTCATAAGGACAGCAATAATGAAAAAAGCTCCCAGAACCTCTAGTACTTGCACTTGGAAACAAGATTTCCAGGGAGAAAATTAAAATGCCAACAAGATTTATACCTACCTATGTAGATGTCCTGCAATCTTAAACATGTTCCATTACTTTTAAAATGCAAGAAGGAGAAACAATGTTATTTTTAAAGTACTGTTATTGAAAAACAAAAGTAATAGGCATAGTTCTTGTTATGGGATGAATTATGTCCATCCAAAATTCATACATTGAATTTCTGACTCATAGTACCTCAGTATGTGACTCTATTTAAACACGGGGTCTTTAAAGAGATAATTGAGTTAAAAGGAGGTCATTAGAGTTGGCCCTAATCAACATGACTGAGCCCTAATCCTTATAAGAAGAGGAAATTAGGACACAGACACACACAGGGAAGACTTATGGGAATACACAGTGAGATGACAGCCAAGAAGAGAGACCTTAGAAGAAACCAACCCTGCCAACAGCTTGATCTCAGACCTCTAGCCTCCAGATTGTGAGAAAATAAATTTCTGTGGTTTAAACTACCCAGTCTGTTGCACTTTGTTATGGCAGCCCTAGCAAGCTACTACAGTTCTTCTCTTTTAAAGGTAAATAAGGAAATGAAGCTAGATAGAAAAGCCCAAAGTTAAGTCATCTCTACTTTGCTCAAAATTTCGACCCTTGATGTAAACATCCAGTTTTTCAGTGATTACATATTGAAATCAATATTCCCTTAATTGCCTAAACTTTGGCTGTGAATATTCTCCCACCATATTCTCCCATCACATCCTCTCTACTAAGAAGAATGAAACGACACATAACTAGTTGGAAAAGGGCTTGCCAGAGCTGCATAAAGAAAGCAAGAAAGCATAGAAACATCTGTTTTTACAAATGAGTTAACTCTGAAGAAGTAGACATATAAGTAGTATCTGTTAATTGATTTCAAAGTGGGTGTAAAGAAGAGAGATGTGTAAATTACTAGGGGGAAAATAGCTTTTCAAGGAATATAATGGTTCTGCCATTTCAGATTCCTTTAATAGTACCTACCAAATAAGAAAAAGAGGCCCGGTTTAAGATCTTCTTATTAAAGATGACTTCTTTTTCTTCTCCAAACATTCTATCCTTTTAAGTATCCTTATAATGAATAAGTAAGTGATAGGCTCACATCTCCTTACTTCTATGCTTGTATGAAAAGCCTCCTTATTCCACTGCTTCATATCAAATGAGAGCAGGAAGTGAAATAAAGCTTTTGGAAACCAGGCATCACTCACATGAAACAAATATGTGTTGGCATCCTATCCAGATGCACATTTTTGAAAGAAGACCTTGTTCACTTGACCTATGCTACTTTTCTGGAGCGTATAAACAATCTTCAAATGGTGTGAGAAACTGTAGGATCATCAAACTACTAAATCTAGACCTCGGAACACCCAAAATGAACTAATGACAATGTGACTGTAGCAGTGGTAATATTTTACTTTGGAAAATACATGTAATATGTACATTTTAAAAAGCAGTAAGGTTTGATAATAATGACTTAGTTTTCCAAGATTTCTTGGACAACTTTTATCCCAGATATTAAGTGCCACTTTATTTCACCACTTCATTTCATGCATGATGAGGGGTCTCTATCTGAAGATAAACTCCACCCGGGTAGTGCTGACCTATCTGGTCATGTGTCAAATGTAATCCAGAAAAGACAATGGTCTGTCCCAGCAGCACTCTTTACATGAAGAACAAAAGAACATCTTGAGAAAGAATTCATGCAATGAGGAGAGGCTACTGACAGAGAGATGAGAGACCTCTGCCCATCCGGTGAGTTTCTTAGTGCAGCATCTAGGGGTTGGGGTAGTGGAGAGGGGAAAAGTAGGCTCTTTAGTCCTAGATTCCTACTCAACTATGTCTTTTCCTTGCCACAGGAGGCCTGGAGCGCTCAATATTACACCCTTTTGTTGACAGAGCACTCTTAATTAGCACCCAAGCATGTATAGAACACTCATTATGTTTAGGTAAGGGGCTCAGAAGGGTTTCCCAAAGCAGTTTTACAATATGCCTGAAACCAGCCTCCTTGTTTTGGTGTTGCATCGAGTCCAAGTCTCTCAGACACATACATTCTGGGGTGTATAAACATATAAGAATTCTATAACCAGGATATTTTTGAGAATGAAATAGGACACTAAAAGTCATTTAAATCATATCAATTTTCAAAATATATATATTGACTTACAATTTGTTTTTTTATATTAGCTGTCCAAATAAAATATTTCTATTCAACAGCTCTTTTCAAAATGAAATTCTTGCTAAAAGTATAAAAATAACATATCTGTGTACATTTAAAAAAAATCAAAATGTCTTTATATTATCTGAACATTAAAAAATAAACATGATATACTGACATTTGCAACATGGATGGGCCTTGAGAACATTATGTTAAGTGAAATAAGTCAGAGAGAAATACAAACGCTGTATGATCTCACTTATGTGTGGAATCTAAAAGAATTGAACTCACAGAAACAGAGAACATATTGGTGGTTGCCAGAGGTGGGAGTTGAGGGGTGTTGAGGAAATGAGTGAAGATGATCAAAAAAAAGTAATTATTTTTGGTTCATATCCACATTCTTTATGTAGTTTCTTAGCTGCACCTGTCTCTAACACTGTGTCACAGGACAAATTTTTCTGAAGAACATATTTTTTCAATGTATTATTTTTAATTTTTTAATATAGTTGCTGGCATTTAAAAATGATTAATAAAATTAAAATTACACTCAATTGACTCTCCTTTGTAAACAATAATATTTTTAGTTGAGAAAACACAGTTACTGAGTGTCTTGATAAGCTCAGGAAATTTTGCTAAATAGAGGATATTCTCAGTTCAGTTGCACTGAAAAATGTAAACATTTTAGCCCGAATATTTTAACACCTAAAAGGCAAAAGAAGTGCAAAAACGGGGAAAAAATGACAGGTGAAGAACTCTTACTAAGAAAATGATGCCTTGTGTAGAAGAAAATTATGGCCAACTATGTCAATATGAGTTTTAAAAAATTAATAAATGATCATATCTTAAAAACGAAGGCATAATGTAGAGAAAAAAGAGCTCAGAGAATATCTTTCTTAGTCTAGGCCATCTAGATTCATTAGAGACATTCTAATTTTGATCCTTTAAAGTGAAAATGTCTGTTACCACACTCGTACTCCTTGAAGGCAACTTGGTCTTGATGCGAATCTTCCAACTTATCCCAGCAGCTTTTAAACCTACCAAAGAGTAATGAAAGAGGTACCATGCATTATTAAATCAAAAGAACATCAATTATATTCTCCCCCAAAACAACAAAGGGACCATTACTGACTTAATTTTAAAAGGTCATCTGAGTGGTTTTTTTTCTTAGACCAAAGTCTGTCTGCTATAAGAAGCCTTCCTGAACTCACCAGTAGAGACAGAATAGTTATCTCTGTTTAAATTGCTTTTAAATGGAAATCCTCTCCTTTTCCCTCTCCCCTTAAATTAAGTCCTATCTCACCTTCAAGTATGTTATCTTTAGCATCAACACAGTCAAGAAGAAATGAACAGAGAAAAGTGCAGAATTTGCAATGTGTTTTTGATTTTCTATGTCAACAGTAAAAACCTATAAATTTACCTCTTATGTTGTTTCTTTACCAATTAGGGATGATTTTGCATGCTTTAAAAAATATTTATGTTGAGAGATGCATATGAAAAAAGCTTTGAGAAAACATGAGTGAAAAGGGAAGAATGTGTACAAATAAAAAAGTCAAGATGGCAAATATATTACTTTGGGTATATTTCAATCATCTATTACAAAAAGACCCTCAAATTCAATGGCTCAAAAAAATATAATATTTTATTCCTTTCTTAGTGAAAGGTCCACGGGCGAGTATTTCCAGGCTGGTGGGGAAGCTTTTTCCCTGCAGATCTCTTGTTACTCTTCCATTTCCTGGGATGTTCTCTGCATTGGATAAGGTTAGATCTAATCTGAGTTTCATCTTATAAGAAGAGAGAGAGAGAGATGAAGTGGCAGGCAGGCAATTTTTTCTTTAAATCATATTACTTGGAAACTGCACATAACACTTTTATTACAGTCGATGCCAAAGATATGGCATATAAAATATATGGCATATGAAATATGTATATATATATACACATATGCACATGTATGCAATACAAATTATACACTAAATATACCATGAGCATGTATACATTATATACACACACCTTTATATAATCACAGATAATGCAATGATACAACTAAAACAAGACTGTTATAAAGCATTTGTGTGTTTTTATAGAAAATACACCTAAAATTTGTGTTAACATTAGTTAGCAGCTGCTTATCCCCTCTCACTTTGGTCTACCACCATTTTGTTTTGTAGATTTTTAGCATTTCCAACCCAAATTGAACAGGAATCAGTCAGTCATATCTTCTTTGTGTAATTATCTTGTTGCACAGCAGAGCTAATAGAACTCACAGAATAGAAATCAATATACTTAGGGAGGCTGATACAAGATTGGATATTTCAACACAATTTCAGGAGCCATGCCAGTTCAATTTTACATGGAATTCCTTTTATGTGATATCTTTCCTTACACAATCACATACTAGTTTTAAAATATACTAAATGAAATTGAAGAAAGTTACTACTTTGAACAAAAAAACTGATAACTTGTTAAGCATGCTGCTTAGATCATTTAAGAAAAATTAATAAAGTTATTAAAAGCAGACATCTGCAATATAATTTCAAGACATTCTATTCTACGGTGTCAATCTATATTAAAATACATGTTTCAAAGCAAAATTCCTCTGATGCCCTTTATAGCCCACATACACATTCATACTCTCAACATCTTCCATATGTTGTTTTGTAAAATTACATATGCAGTTCTACTAATACAAGGCCAAACAAACCAACTCTATGGATTGAGAGGAAATCTAGTTCAGCCAATCTTTAATTTTTCTCTAGTTCTGCTACAGAAGCATCTTAGCATTTGCCATTTTTCAAAGGAATTAGAGACTCTTTAAAGTGAGACTGCCTCCCATGCCAGAAAAAAATAATTTTAAGCCTTTTTTAGAATATAGTGATATGTGGAATAAAAATTAGCTACTGTTGAAAAGTATA